AGTTTGTTGAAAGTGATAGTATAGTGAATCTAGCTCTCTCTCTCACACACACACAAAGAACAGTTGTTACAAATTACTAATTTAGGGTGCTGGAGAGACAGCAACTAAGAGCTCTTGTTTTTCTTGCAGAGGACCTGGGTTCAGTTTCCCAGTACCCACATAGTAGCTCACAACCAGTAGGCATACATGTGGTGCACGTACATGCATATAGGCAAAGCTTTCATACACATAAATTAGTACATAAATCTTTAGAAAAAGATTATAAATTCCTAACATGGGAGTTGAGATCATCAGTGGCAAGATAGGGTGAATTATAAACCCTGTCCTGCCTGCCCCTCCATCCAGCCATCCATTTGTTTCTCTCAAAGCATGTTTGTTAGAGGCTAATTCTTTTTATTTGTTTTTGTTTTTGAGACAGGGTTTCCCTATGTAGCTTTTGGAGCCTGTCTGTAAACCAGAGATCCATCTGCTTCTTCTGCCTCCTGAGTACTGGGATTAAAAGCCTGTGCCACCACTTCCCAGCAAGAGGCCAATTCTTATGTTACAATAATACAGCTGCCGAGTGTCTGCTACGCATCATGGTGCATGCCTTTAGTCCAGCACTTGGGAGGCAGAGTCAGGTGGATCTTCGAGTTTGAGACCAGCTAGAGCTGTACAGTGAAACTCTGTCTCAAAAAAACAAAGTCTTTTGAGCTCAACATTTTTTTTTTTTTTTTTTTTTTTTTTTTTGGTTGTTTGAGACAGGGTTTGTCATCATGAAATCAGGCTGGCCTTGAACTCAGAGATTTGCCTGTCTCTGTCTCCTAAGTGCTGGGATTAAAGGTGTGCACCACCACTGCCCACCCAAATTTCTTGAAGGTGCTTCTGGATCATGTTTGCACATAATATTTTCTGGCCAGTTCTATTTATCCTAAAGTGCTGTATAAAACTGAACACAGCACTTCAGTGCAGTGTAAACAATACATAGGGGCAGTATTGCCATCCACAGGCCTGACTTATATTGGCTAGTTGCCTATTTCCTGTGTTCTTAATGAGTACCAGAAACCATGCTTCCCAGTTCTGTTAGCAGACACCACACCACCACCACCACCACCTTCCCCCCCCCTCCACGCCCTGTTCCTGTTCTGTTGACCTACAGGGTATTCAGAACTCTTGTGGAATGGGTAGGTCAGATACAAGTGCTTCATTCAGTGGCTCGGGTGAGTGTACACTCTACTTCACACAGAGCCGGGCTTAGTCTAAATGCTCAGTCGGTGTTCGTTAAATAAACCCTACGTTGAAGTAGGAAAACTTGTTTAAAATGCCATAGGGAACTGGTTAGGACAGTTTCATTGCTTTTAGACACAGCCCCCCCACAAAACACTGCTCTGCAGATTTCATCATATTTATGTGCTTGAGATGAACTGTACAGCTTCTTCACCTTCTGGTGAAAACTTGTAGTCTGCTCAGTGTCATTGCCTTCCAGGCTTGAGAACCCTGAAACTTCTGTGTACTGGTACTATCTGTTTACCTTTTGAGACAGGGTATCAATACTTAGCCCTCCCTACTTGGCCTGGAACTCACTATGTAGACTAGTCTGGCCTAGTACATAGATCTACCCGCCGCTGCTTCCTGAGTCCTGGGAATACAGGTGTGCACTCCCTTGTCTGGCATAACCCTGTAAAAGAAGGCCTCACAGCCATGGGAGGAAAAGACAACACTCTCTCGAGCTAGGCTGGGTAGGTGTAGTTAGGCCAGAGAGCAACTAAGTTAAACGCTTTTCCCCAGAGATCCACAGTACCTGGCAACTAAAGAATGCCTATTCTCTCCCTGTTTCTAGAATATTCTGAAAAACAGGAGTTGGAGAGATGACTCAGTGGTTAAGAGCACTAGCTGCGCAGGGTGGTGGTGGTGCCCATCTTTAATCCCAGCACTCCAGAGGTAGAGGCAGGTGTAGCGCCGAGTTAGGCCAGCAAAGGCTACACAGAGAAACCCTGTCTCAAAAAACCAAAACCAGGCAAACAAACAAAGAGTACTTGTTCTTACAGAGGTCCAGGGTTCAGTTCCTAGCATGGCAGCTCACAACTCTTTGAGACTCAAGTTTCAGGGGGGGTCAAACATCTTTATACAGATATGCGTGCAGGCAAACACCAATGCACATAGAAAAAAAAAAATAATGTGCTGTAAACCAGGTTTACCCCTGGTATTAAGCCTTTGCTTCCCCATGTCACAGTGATGGACAGTCTCCATCTCCATGCTCTGTGCTGAGACACCATACACGTACAAATTGCTACATACATACAGCCTCAGAGTCTTTTAGGTGGCCTCTCTCACACCTACCAGTTCCCCCTCGTGCTGATGTAGGTAGTGTGGATAGAGCAAATCTAGCCTTGGGACCCGGTTCCGTGGCTGCAGCCATCCCTGTCTCTGAGGCCTGAGGGGGAAGTAACACTCATATTCCCTCCCTCCCCCTGCACCTTTCTCTATGTGTGTTGAGTGTGCATGCACCCACATACTACATGCCCCATGGGTGCCTTTTCATACTGATAACAGAGACCAGTGTTTTCTGACAAGTGGAGAAAAATGGATTTCCTTGTTCTGTGAGTGACCTCATGAGACAAAGCTGTCGCCAGGTCATGCCTGTTACTCTGAGAGCCCATCCTGTGTATTAGACAAAGAATGTTTCTCATGCGGAAGATACGGATCTGCATCTGTTTGAGAGCGGATGCAGGAAGAGGCCTAAGGGTTGGTCATGCAGCCCATATCCAGGGAGTCCTGTCCCATTTACTTGGTACAAAGCCATGTAAAGGCCTGTCGTTTTTTTTAGGGTGAATGAGGGGTTGTGATATGGTGGTGAGACTCTGGTGGCATGCTTCAACTCACTGTGTGGTGGATCCTGCCTCTGGCTCCCAAGTGCTGAGATGATAGGCACGTACCCCCCACTGAGGGCCTGTCATTTTCAAGTCATGGCAGTCCTGTAGTAAAGGTTAATACCGGTCTACCTGTGATGATCGTGAAGCAAGTAGGCCATGGTCAAGCCAGCATTTGAACCCATGTCTCACTTCATTAAGGTCCTTTTGGAGAGGGTCATAACTGTGCCCATCATTCAGGTTCTCCTGTGTGCTGCGGATGTTGCCACAATGCCTCCGCTCAGAGCCGCCACTGCCATGTGTACTGCTGGCTGTTGAGCTGCTCTCCGTTCTGGTGGACCATGACAGCCTTGCACAGCAGCTGTGCTCCCACTCAGGTAAAGCAGACCAGCTCGTCTCATCTTTGCTGTAATGGGAGGGAGGGATTGGCACAGGGACAGGTTCAGAGCCTCTCAATGGCTTCTGCACTTGGACCCCAGGCTGCAGGGAAAAGGGAGACTCTGAGTAAGGCCGGGCATCCTTTTCAGAGGGCTGCCTACTCCTGAGGCTGTACATGTACATCACGTCAAGGCCTGACAAAGTGGCCTCAGAGACACAATGGCTTCAGCTGGAACAAGAGGTAAGATGTGCATCCTTCACCCCCTCCCTCAGAGCCGAGGGTCTCTCCTTTCCTCCTGGGGAAAACGGGAGCTACACTTAATTTTGATTAGTTTGTCCAACAGCAACAGGTAAGATTTAGGGTTCCTCACACAGATGCAATACAAATGTACCCAGGGTTACAATGAGCTCAGCAGAGTTGCCTGATAATGCTGCCTGGGTTTTGCGACCTGATCCTGGCCCCAGAAGTAGGTAAGCTGTTGATGAGACTCAGATCTGAAAGCCTCAAACCACCACTACTCAGCCCCCACTTGTGTAAACAAGCAGTTGGAGAAGTAGCTAGAGCTTCTTAGAAATGCCTGCAAAAGCCCTGGTGACAAGTGTCCGTTCTACAAGTGACGAACCATCTCTTCTCATTCCAGGTGGTATGGCTCTTGGCCAAGCTGAGTGTGCAGAGCCCTTCCTCCCCAGGCATTGGTTCTGACTGCCAATGCAACGTAGAGGTGAGTGGCCAGGGGCCAACAATGTGGTAGCTCATTTGGGTAAGGGCAGTCCTGCTTCCCTGAAGTGGCTAGGTTGCATAAGTCCTTAGACTCAGTCTGTGCCCTCTCTTACCCAGGCGGTCAGAGTGCTCACCGTTATGTTGCACAGACAGTGGCTGACTGTGCGGCGGGCAGGGGGTCCAAGGACTCACCAGCAGAAACAGACAATACGCTGTCTGCGGGACACTGTGCTGCTGCTGCATAGCCTATCTCAGAAGGACAAGCTCTTTACTGTGCATTGTGTAGAGGTCCTACATCAGTATGATCAGGTGATGCCAGGGGTCAGTATGCTGATTCGAGCCCTTCCTGATGTGACCGACTGTGAAGGTAAGCCAGCAAGAGTACCCTGTCCTAGCCTTTAAGTGCCTCTGCCTGAGACTCATGAAATGTCAGGCTCCCTTGCTGGACCTCAGTGGGCCCCCACCACCACCACCACCAGAGCACTGTGGACATTACCTTGCCGCTCTGGTTCTTTGAGTATGCTAGGTTGTCCTTTGATCGGGTCCATTGAATTGGCCTAGCTGAGCCATGGTTTTTCCAGAAATATCTGTCTGAACTGCTTTTGTATCACTTTTGCTCATAGTAGCTGAGGGAGCAAAGCCTGGGCATGGAAGGGACTGGTTAGTTCCTGTGCTGCCAGGGGAGGATGGGGAGACCTCCCGGCCTCACACCATCAGGCTTAACCTCAGAACCCTCTTCCTTTTGTCTCAGAGGCAGCCCTGGATGACCTCTGTGGTGCGGAGACAGATTTGGAAGACTCTGAAATGGACTGTAACTGAGAGCCTGAGCAGCCAGCCGCAAGGTGGCACCAGCTCCCACCACTGTCTGCCATATCCACTGATTAAAACTGTAGTTCCTGCCGAGAACAACTGCTTTGTTTCCTGAGTCCAATTTGTGTGGCTGAGAGGGAGGGATAGAGCAGACTAGGAACTATCTCCACTGCTGGAGTTGAGATGGTCCCCATGGTAACTAATCTGCCTTGAGGAAAAGCCCTGCCCCTCTTCGGGAATTACCCTGAGTCATAGCTTTGGGCTGGGGCCATGGCAAAAAAAAAAAAAAAAAACTTTGTTGTGTAGCAGGGAAGGCAGCCCTTCCCTAGGAAGGCCCGGGAAAGTGTCCCAAGGACTAGGAAAGGCAAGGAAAGTCACGGTAGAGACTTGAAGGCACGCATGAATCCTGGAGACAATCCGGGTTCAGTGGGTTGTCAGTGTGGCAGCACTAGCCTTGTTTTATCAGCCAACAGGATCAGAGCTAGGGGTCTAAGGCCTTCGGGTTACTTGGCGAGAGGGAGGGCTTGAGCCTAGGGCAGGCCTGGGATGACTAGCTGGGCGGGCGCTGTTCAGAGGCAGGCCTGTGTGCAGACCCAGGCAGTTTCACTTCCTGAACCACCACCGCCAGCAGCAGAACCAACACTTGTCTCACGCCCTGCTTCTGGTGAGTGTGGACCCTGAGGGTATGGGGTAAGGAAAGAAAAGGTTTCCTCACCCTGAGGGTGGTCAGCACTAGGGGAAGGGCTCATGCCTCAAATGACAGTAGTGTGCCCAGCCCACTAGGAAACAACCCTGCCTTCTAGTTCCTGCTCTGAAAAGGGCCTGGGTTAGCGCCTGGCTGAAGGGAAGGTGTGAGCTGCGCTTGCCCACACCCTATCCCCACCCCTGCCCTGGCTCACTTTAGACTTTGCTGGCACTTATCCACCCCATGCTCCTTCCCAGGCTCAGCATGGGCTCACAGGCCCTGCCCCACGGTCCCATGCAGACCCTCATCTTCTTGGACCTGGAAGCCACTGGCCTGCCTTTCTCTCAGCCCAAGGTCACAGAGCTGTGCCTGCTGGCTGTTCACAGACGTGCCCTGGAAAACACCTCCATCTCTGGGGGACAGCCACCTCCAGTGCCCAAACCACCCCGTGTGGTGGACAAGCTCTCTGTGTGCATTGCTCCAGGGAAAGCCTGTAGCCCTGCAGCCAGTGAGATCACAGGTCTGAACACAGCCGAGCTACAAGTAAATGGACGTCAGTGCTTCGATGACAACTTGGCCAACCTGCTCCAAGCCTTCCTACAGCGTCAGCCACAGCCCTGCTGTCTTGTGGCACACAATGGCGACCGTTATGACTTTCCCTTGCTCCAGGCAGAGCTTGCTATGCTGAGCATTAGAAGTCCTCTAGATGGTACCTTCTGTGTGGATAGTATTGCTGCCCTAAAGGCACTGGAACAACCTAGCAGCTCCTCAGAGCACGGTCCAAGGAAGAGCTACAGCCTGGGCAGCATCTACACCCGCCTGTATGGGCAAGAACCCACAGACTCACACACCGCTGAAGGTGACGTTCTAGCCCTGCTCAGCATCTGTCAGTGGAAGCCACGGGCCCTGTTGCAGTGGGTGGATAAACATGCCCGGCCCTTTAGCACCATCAAGCCCATGTATGATGTTCCAGCTGCTGCTGGAACAGCCAAGCCAAGGCCATACGCTGCCACAGCCACTGCATCCCTGGCCTCAACCAACACGAGTCCCAGCCATGGCAGAGGCAAGCGACCCAAGACTCTTCCCCCAGCAAAGGTTCCAGAAACCCCATCTCAGGAGCTGCTGGCCCCACTGAGCCTGCTTGCCTTCCTGACCGTGGCAGTAGCCATACTGTATGGACTCTCCTTGGCCTCACCTGGGCAGTAAATAAACCAGTAAGAAAAATCTGACTAATAAAGACCCCACAGCACTGACTGGTACTGGCTGCCTCCACTTCTTCACAGCCTGGGCCCCTGTTCTTATTCAGGGCCCTGGGGACAAGGCACAGCCCCTGCCCCTTGCTCTCTTAACAGGATGATCAAACCTATTAGGCTGATAATAAAAGTAGCGAAAACCAAGTTCAAGAGCTAGATAGAAAAAGTATTTGGTGTATAGCCAAGGCTAGCAGCCCAGGCTCTGAAGAAAGAGGACATGGGTGGTCCAAATGTTTGTATTTATTATAAACAAAGGTGCAGAGTCTGGATGCTCAGAAACACACCAACAGACACAAAGCTAGGGTAGCTGGTGAAATAGGAACCAACAGGAACACGGAGGTAAGGTATTCATGTCTGGGCTACCATCTGGGCCCTCCATCCACACCTTTGGTCCAGGTAGCCCCTTGGCCCTGGCATCCCTGCTGCCAGGACAAACTGGACTACTATACAGGAGTCGGGTAATTCTGTAAGGCTGGCGTCAAGGAAACATTACCAGAGGTCAGGTTGTCCTCCAGGAACCAGGGATCTCAACCACACACCATCACACATATGGAGACAGAAAACAGGCAAAATGTTTGGCTAAAAGTAAAACAAGATTGCAAGGAGAAACAGGAGCGTGTGGCGGACTGGCACCTTGCCTAGTGGCAGGAACCAGGCAGCAAAGGTAGAAAAGTTTCCTCACTGAAGCCTGAATGTTGAGTGCATGTGGCCCTCTACATAGTTCTAGGAAAGATACTGACAGTCCCAACTGGTCGTAGGCAGACGGGGCTCTGCCTGGTGTGTGCTAACGTTGGGAGCTGACCCACAGCACTAAGCTTCAGCCAGGCCCCTTGTTCTGCCCACCTACCTGCCTCACTGCAAAAGGAAGTCAAGCCCTGGGGACAAGCCATGGCCCTGAGCAGCAGCTAGCTGCTTACTTCCAAGAGCAGGACATGTGCCCACAAAAAACTTATTCTCCTAAGTGTGACAGGCCATGGCTGGTCACCTTGGGGTGAAAAAGCTCCTACCCCAATGTTTCTAGTTTACTGGGGATTTCAGAAAGTAGAATTTCAAGTGAGGAAGAAAACAGGTTGATCCCAACCCACACTGGTAAGGATTTGTGCCTACCTGGTCAGCATCAGAAGTCACATGTTTAGACAAGGCACATATACCACAGAGAGCAGTAAAGAACTGCATGCCACCCACACATGCCACTCACACATGACATAATCAAATGGCAGCCAGAGAGGTGTGGGGGCAGGCTCAGTGAACTGCCTTTGGGGGATCCATGTAGGCTGGGTTGTAAGGAGGCTGAGTGGCAGAGTAGGGTGCGGCTGAACCTCCTGAAAGTAAAGAGGACATAGATTAGCTGTGGGGACATTGGGCTGTAGTATAAATGGTAGGCAAGCTAGCAGGAAGGGACCTTAGGAGCAGAGACATGAATTGGGTACCCACTGTGGTACTCACCAGCCAAGGTCTCATGATAGGCTGGTGGCCCCATGGGCTGGGCCACGTAGGGTGGTGGGTACTGCGTCGGGTAGGGTGCTGCTGGCATTCCTGGCTGGGGGGGCATGGGGTGGTAGCCCTGGTAGGTTGGTCCAGGGCAGCTGGGCGGCACACTTGAAGGCTGAGGGTAAGGGGTATGAACCACGGTGGTGGTTGTGGTGTTGGTCACAACCGCTGCAAAGAAGAGTCCTGATTAGTCAAAACCTTATGACTCCCTAGGCCAGGAGAGGCCAGGCCTGCCCCTCAAAATCCCTTCAGCTTAGCCCAAACAGGCTCCTGGTCAGCAACCCTTGCCCTCTCTAGGATCCGCATCTCACACAGGGAGGGCACAGGTGGGCGGGTGGGGAAGGGCAAGCTTACGGCGTGGTTGGCAGCACATCTTATACAGACAGCAGCAGGAGCAGGTAAAGCATATGATGATGGTGGCGATGAACACCACAAAGATGGTCAGGCCAATGGCAACGGGCGCTCCAAACCTGCCAAAGAGCTAGTTGTAACCAAGTGTTACTCTTTTCTATGACCTGCGACCCTCCCCTCCCCTGTTCCCAGGGCCACCTCACTCAGCAAGTTGTGTGATATAAATCGGTTTCATGCATCCCCTCCCCGTTCGCACCTACCCATACACCCGTCCTCTCCTAACAAACAAGCAGCACGTGGTTGTCAGGCATATGCCACAAGCCAGGCAGGATGGGATCTGAGTCAAAACAGGCTGCTGAGTGCTGAGGAACTGCAGCTCACTACAGGCTGTGTGACATCCAGACTGCCCCATGTGTCCATCCCACGGAGGCTAAATGGATGCAGCCGGACTCTGGAAGAAGCTGCCTCCCTGCCCAACCCAGGCACCCACAGAATAGAGGATGACAGCAACAGCATAGGCTGAAAATCATCCCCCCCCCACACTCCCAAAAGCAGACAAAGCCCCCAATTATCCTCCCATGGTCCCTGGGCCCATGCTCTATCCTAATAAGAGGCAAATGTTTGGCAAATGCAACAGACACATTGAAATTGTAATCACTAGAGCATCTGCCCCTCTGAGGTCAAAAGGGAGGGTGTCACCCCACCCTACCATGAGGCTTCCATCTCACACAGCCCAGAAGAGCAGCAAGGCCTCAGGAGGGTCTTGAAGCCAAGGGACAGACTTAGGGGCAGCCCCCCACCCCCCACCCCACTGCAGGCTTCCATAACAGGAGCCTTTGCCACAATGTGACCCAGGACCATGGAACCATAGGTGTCTCCCTGAGCAGTGAGAGGCAGAAAAGACAAAAACATCACACGGCTGGTGGCATGCAGTGTCTCTCTGCTTCTCTACAGGATGTGCTCTGCTCACCCCATGTTAGCCTCCACCTTCATGCAAGGGGCTCCTGCAGCCCAGGACTTCCCCTCTTTTCATCAGGGCCTACTCAGTTTCAATCTCCTCCCCTTTCAAAGAAAAGGAAATCGAATCTTCTCAGTGGTAGTCTTTCCCATTCCTGACGTCAGTGGCCGGAAGGACAGACTCACAGGCCTTGTAGCCACCCACTTAAAGACACAGCATGACTCAAGCACCATCTGCAGCCCCAGCAGCCAGAAAGGCGCTGAGGAGGGCTGGAAGGGGAAACAGAGGCCCCACATCACTTTCCCAGCCCTGGATCCTGGCCTCTAAATGCAGCCCGGCCCAGCCCAGCCCAGCCCCTGAGCTACTCTGCTTGCCTCACCCACCCCTGGGGCCTGAGCCTGAGTGGGCTCAGGCGCAGAAGACATCTATTGTCCCTCCTCTCCCACTAGTGGCTTCCAGTTTGCGGCTTCCAAGTTTGTGCGTGACCAGGCCAGGTCTGATCAGGTTTCCCTGGTTCTAAGGCCAAAGACTCCCCCAGCCCCTGAAACCACAGGATGTTTTTATAATCACTAGTGGCACTGTGTGTACCTACCTTTCTGTGGTACCGTGTAATGATAGTTAACAACTAAAATCTAGGGTTTGTCTAACCAGATAGTAAAACTTATATTTTTGGCTGTGAGCCTAGCCTTTAACGGCTGAGCCATCTCTCCAGCCCCAGATAGTAAAACTTACAAAAAACCCAATTTCAATCTTTAATTAGAAATTTTGCTAGGTGTGCTAGCACACAGGGTAATACTTGAATTCAGGAAGCTATTGATTGAGGCAGGAGGATTATGAGTTCTGGGCAAGCCTGAGCTATATAGAAGATTCTAGTCAGGCCTGAACTATATTGAGAAACCCTGTCCCCCAAAAGCTCAACAAAAAAAAAAAAAATTAGATAAAACTCCTTTCAGAAGCCACCAAAGTCAAGTGGGACAAGGACTCACCCCTCCTTCATGCTCTCTGTCCTAGCCAGCTCACCAAGCTGCATTCTGCTTCAGTGTCTTCCCACCTGGCAGGCCCCTCTTCCCACAACCCTCACTCCCAGCTGATAATCCCTGTTCATCTCTCAGACCTCAGCTCAGACTTCCAATCACGAAAACACCGGACTCCTTGGCTCCTACAGAATTAAAGTCCTGTCCACTTACGTGGCTTAGTGGGCCATGTGTGGGTGGCGCTTGCCTGGCAGAAACAGGTAGAAGATCTCTGAGTTCAAGGCCAGCCTGGTGTATGTCTGAGTTCCAGGCCAGACAGGACTACAAAGTGAGATCCTGCCTCAGAAAAACAAGAAAGTAAAGGAAAAAAGAGAGGGAGGGAGGGAGGGAGGAAGGAAAGGAAGAAAGGGAGGAGAGAGGGAAGAAGGGAGAAAGGGAGGGAGAGGGAGGGAGGGGAGGGAGGGAGGAAGCAGGGCTGAGCTCTGAGGGAGGGCACATCATATACAGGATGTGACATTCGGGGCTTGGTAGGAGTGTACTCTTTTAGACTTCTGTTCTGACCTGTGGCTCTGAAGGTGAGAAACAAAGAGGAATTTGGGGACAGAGTTTGCAGATCTCAGGCCCCAGAATCTTTCCTCTGGGGGCTTCTCTGTGGTCCCAAGCCATTCTGTGGACAATGCACCCTCAGTCACAGAGGCAGCACCCAGGTGTCCATTGGAGTGTCTCCGTAAGAAGGTTCCCAAAAGAAGTGTCATGACAGCCCTGACCCTCAACCTCCTCTGCTGTGCACACTTCTGGGGCTCCGAAGAAGAGGAGAGAAAGAAATACCATCAACCCATTCTTCCTCCTAGCAATCCCCTGCCCCCAATACTTCTAGCTGCCATTACCACGGCCGCACACTGTCAGGCCCCTGAGTGTCTCTATGGAGCTGTCTAACTCATCCCACGCTTCCAATTCACATTTCATGAGCTGGGCTGGGTGGCTCCTGCCAGGCATGCCATGCTGGTGTGGGGTACCCGTCCCACTCCAGTGCAGTCCACACTGCCTTGGACCAGCTGCCCTCTTGCCCTCAACCCCGGTCCTCCCTCTTGGCTGTCCTTGACACTGTTCCTCAAATACTGCTGTCCATTTTCCACACATGAATCCTTCTTACCTAAACCTTCAAGACAAGGCCCCTCCTCCCCAACCCCACTAATGGCCGGCGTCTATCCAGCATCCCTGCGAAAGCCTGTTCCTCCATCTGAAGACTCTCTTCTCTTGCTCCTTGCTGCCAGGCAGCTAGCTGTTCAATACCAACAGCCCACCCCCAACCTAACCTCCCAGCATCCCTGGCCAGGAAGTCATAGCCACTCCTAACAGCTGCCTGCCACGCTGACTCATGTGTTCTGTTCCTCCGATGGTGGCCCCAAACACATTCAGTTAGGTAACATGGATGCTCATACCTGTAATTCCTACAATCAGGAGGCTGAGGCAGGACTACAAATCCCCAGCCAGCGCAAGCAACATTGTGAGTTGCAAGCTCGCCTGGGCTACAGAGCAAGAGCCTGTTCTAAAACAAACATGCAGGAGCTACAGCTCAGTTGACAGAGTGCTTGCCTGTGTAAGAGGTAAATTATTCTGGTCCATTTTCAGAATGCGGTGTGCTTTGGGTGCCAAGAGTCACAATGGGCAGGGGGTGCGAGGCGTCTCTCTCCCCAGGCTGGCAGCTGGCCTGCTAGTCTCAGAACTCTGAGACTTGGAAAGCTGCAAGCATTAGCTTTTCGACAAGCCCCAGATATTACTAGATAAGGCCTTACATTCTGAACTGGAAGGCGGACATGTTAGCCTCTTCTCTATGCTGGTACCCTATTCTGCAGAATCACACATTAAAAACGGTTGTACTTTCTCTAGTCTCTCCAGTTTGTTATTATAAAGTGAGGGTCTTGTCTCTCCCGCCTACCATGCAGGAGGCCAGGGGTGACGCACACTTGTAACTCAAGCACTGAGCAGGATCAGAAGTTCAAGGTCATTCTCAACTACATACCAAGTTCAAGGTTAGCCTGGGCCACATGAGACTTTGTCTCAGGAAGGGAGGGGGAAGAAAAGGAAGAAAGTAGGGTAGGAGCCTGGCCAAGAAGTTGAGGGCTAGGAGAGTGAGAGGTCTCTGGGAGTGTGGGAAAGAAGAGCTACAGTGCACCTCTCCTTCATGGAGGGCTCTCCCTGACCCTGAGACCCAGATGCCAGCACAGTGGCTGTACCCACACGCCTTCCCATACCGATGGAGGCACTGAGACTTCTGCTGTCTCAGCACCTTGACTCAACATTGACCCAACATCAACACGGCCATCATTATGTCACTGCCATGGACCGCCCGACTACCACTGCTGTCTCCACCAAATGCCATTCCCTCCTCTGTTACCTCTACTCATTGGACACTGCACTTCATCACCCAGGTTAATATGGATCCCACCCCTGAACCTTCAACTGCCAGTCCACAACCAGGTACCCCCCCCCCATTTCCCTTCTCAGAACACAGAGGAAACCCAGCTCCCCGGAGCTCCAAAGGTCCCATCACTGGGACACCATCCCAATTATTCCGTGCCATTTTAGTATGCAGAGGCCACCCCAAGCCTACCTGAGCCCTCGTCACTTTTGCCAGGAAAACAGACACAACCTAAAGGCTTTATTTACCCTGGCATGGGGTCACTGTCAAAACTGGATCGAAATCTCAGCGCGGAACCCAGCTGCTCCAGAGTCTCCGGGGGAGTGGAGGATCTGCTAACAGAAAAGAGAAAGCTCCTGAGGGACACACTGGATCCCAACCCGCATCCCGCATCACACCGCCTCAAGGCACACACGACATTCCAAGAATGGATGGCGTACACACCGAGAGCCGTTCACTCTTCTCCGACACACCAACGGCAGTCTCCAGGGTGCTTATGAGGCCAGGAAACAGCATATCTCATACTTAAGATCTGCAACGTACATGCCCCTAACCACAACAGGATGGAGGCAGAAATCAAAAACAGAGAGCTGCGTTGCCACAAAGTTTAAAAAAAAAAAAAAAAAAAGAAAAAGAAAAACAACGCAGGGGAAAATGACCGCCACCAACTCTTTCCATTGGAAACCGAGGCAGGGAGAGTCACAAGTTGAAGCCAGCCTGGACTGCATGACAAGATGTTTTCTGAGGAGGGAAATGGAGGGAGGGAGGAAATGTGAGGGAAGAGGGGAGGGAAGAGGAGAAAGGAGACACACAGAGAGGCGTTAGACGGAATGGAATTTATTCAGCAGAGCCATGGTGCCAAGAACCTGCAACCCTGTGCTCAGGAAGCAGACAGGAGAATCAGCAGTTAGGGTTAGCCTGTGCCACAGGAGACCCCATGCCAAACAAACAGACCACAGCCATGAAAAAGCTTAATCAGTTCACAGAAGGAAATGAACTTCATTACTACAATATGTCAAGGACAAAAGATAAGCAAGCCACAGCTGGGCATGGTAACCCATAATCCCAGCACCCAGGAGGCTGAGGCAGACAGAGGGCTCCCTAAAATTCAAGCTCCTTTTAGGCTACAGGGGAGTTTGGGGGGCAGGGGAGCAGGGGAGCAGGGGAGCAAGCTAGGCAGAGTAATGCATGCTTAGAATCCTAGCACACAGAGGAAAGAAGATCAGAGTTCAAGATTATCCTTGGCTACTTAGCAAGTTCAAAGCCAGCCTGAACTAGGCAATAGCAGACCATTTCACAAAACAAAACAAAGAGAAAAATCCACAAATGTGTGTGTGCGCATGCACACACGCTCAGGCCACACACACACACACACACACACACACACACACACACACACACACACCCCAAAACTCAAGGGAAGCCAGTGTAGGCGTTCATGCCTACATGGGGGAGCCTGAGGATGATTTGGAGTTCAAGGCCATTCTGGGCTACAAAATAAAACCCATCTTCTCTTTCTTTATTCTCTTTTTCTTAAAGAATTAATTTTGGGGGTCCTGGAGAGAACACCCAGAGATTAAGAGCAGTGACTGATCTTCCAGAGGTCCTGAATTCAATTCCTAGAAACCACATGGTGGCTCACGATCATCTGTAATGAGAGCTGGTGCCCTCTTCTGGCCTGCAAGGATATATGCAGGCAGAACACCGTATACATAACAAATCTTTAAACAAAATTAATCTTGGGGTTGGAGAGATGGCTCGGTGGTTAAGAGTACTGTTTGCTGTTCTAGTGGACTCGGGTTCAAATCTCAGCATCCACCTGGTGGTTCACAACTGTCACTCTAGTTCCAGGGGATTCCATACCCTCACACAGGCAAACATGCAGGCAAACAGCAACACACATAGGATAAATAATTTATAAAAAAAGAATTTTAAACAGGCTCTTAATTACATTTATTTACTTATTTTGTGTTTTTTAAAATTTTTTCCCCCAGTTCCACATCCTCCAGTCCCCCACCCCATCCCCTCCTCCTTTCTCTTCAGAAAAGCACAGGCCTCTTGTGGATGTTAGCCAGCCAAGGCATAGCAAGTCGCAGTGAGACTGGGCACCTCCTCTCCCACTAGGGCTGGACAAGGCAACCCAGTAAGAGGAAAGGGTCCCTAAAGCAGGCAACTTAAGTCATGTATATAAGTGTTATGCACGCACACATGTGTAGTGCCTGCAGAGGTCAGAAGGGGGCACTAGCCCTCTAGGACTGGAGTTACAGATGGTTGAATTTCCATGTGAGTACTGGGAATTGAACCCCGGTCCTCTGGAAGAGCAGCCAGTGCGCTTAACTACCCAGTCATCTCTCCAGCCCCACTTCCTTTCTTTTAAAGTAGAGCAGATGAAATTTTATTAAGGAGGCTGGGAGGTGGTGGCGCATGCCTTTAGTCCCAGCACTCGAGAGGCAGAGGCAAGAGGTCTCTGTGAGTTCGAGGTCAGCCTGGTCTACATAGTGAATTCCAGGACAGCCAGGGCTACACAGAGAAACCGTCTCAAAAAACAAGAGAGAGGGAGAGAGAGAGAGAGAGAGAGAGAGAGAGAGAGAGAGAGAGAGAGAGAGAGAGAGAGAGAGAGAGAGAGAATTTATTAATGAAAAGAAGAGAACACTCCAAGGAGTAGAAAGGACTCAAAGAGAGGAGTTCCCTAAACCCCATTTGTTTGTTTGGAGACAGGGTCTCTCTGTTATATAAACCTGACTTTCCTAGAACTTGCCATATAGACCAGATTAGCCCTGAACTCACAGAGCTCCACCTGCCTCTGCCTCCTCCTGAGTGCTGGGGTTAAGAGTGTACAGCACCATGCTTGACTCCAGATCCTATCTTAAAAAAAATAAAATAAATAAAATCCAGGGGGAAGTCTTCAGAGAGCAGAGTATAATGGAGTCTGGGGCACAGTAAAGCTGGGAACAGATAGCGGAGATGAAGCTGCTACCCAACATTTTTCCTGGTGACTGCCACAGTTTCTCCAAAGGACATCTGGGAGGCAGAATTTTAGGAATCTTTGAGAGACCAAGGCAGGAAAAAATAGATCCACATCCCACAAAATGAGGAGGCCATGACGATCCTGTACTGTGCACTTGGGCCAGGAGCTGAGAAACAGCTTCACAGGAGGTGGGAAGGACAAACCTCCCTTCTAGTCCTCAGTGCTTGGGCTAAGGTCCCAGCAGAGGTAACATTAGTTCTCTAGAGAATTCTAGGCTCCAAATTCCTCCAATCAGGGTTTTTCTTTTTGTTTTTCTAGACAGGGCTTCTCTGTGTAACAGCCCTGGCTGTCCTGGAACTCACTGTGTAGAACAGGCTGGCCTCGAACTCACAGAGATCTATGCCTGTCTCTACCTCCCCAGTGTTGGGACTAAAGGACTGTACCACCACCACCTGGCTTCCTTAATAAATTTCATTTGTTCTACTTTAAAAGGAAGGAAATGGGCCAGAGAGATGGCTCAGCAGTGTTAGTTGAAAACTTCCAGGAACACTAAAAGTAGATAATATGAATAGAAAACAAGAGTAATAAATGGCAATAAAAATATCCAGGGGTCAGGTACATGGCATACACTTCTAATATCTGAACTCAGGAGGCAGAGGCAGGAGGACCTCTGGGTTCGAAGTCAGCCTGATCTACAAAATGAGTTCCAGAACAGCCAGAGCTACACAGAAAAACAGCGTCTCAAAAAACAAACAAACAAAAAAGATAAAAAAAAAAAATGTCCATAGAGCTCTGAGCATGAAACTAGCAGATGCTGATATCAAATGACAAGACACATTGGGGTGGGGGGCAGGGAGAGGTGGGGGGTGGGAGGGTCATTTATTTATTATGTATACAGCCTGCACCTATGCCTACATGCCAGAGGAGGGCACCACTATAAATGGTTATGAGCTACCATGTAGTTGCTGGGAATTGAACTTAGGGCCTCTGAAATAATAACAAGTGCCCTTAACCATCTCTCCAGCCCAACAAAACACACTGTTTAGAGAATACACAGGGGCCAGTGAGATTATCTGTACAGGTCCAACAGCGTGATGGAGGGAAAGACCTGGCTCCTGAAAGTTGTCCTCCGACTTCCACACGCGCACCTGGCATTCGTGTGCCCATGCCTGGTGCACATAAAAATAAATTAATGTAATTTTAAAAAGTATTTAAATAACAAACAATGGGCTGGGCAGTGGTGGTGCATGCCTTTAATCCCAGCATTCAGGAGGCAGAGGCGGGTGGATCTCTGAGTTTGAGGCCAGCCTGGTCTACAGAGCAATTCTAGGACAGCCAGGCCACACAGAAGAACCCTCTCTGGGAAATCCTAGAAAGAATAAACAAACACTGGGATTGGCAGAGGTGTGGTTGGGCCAAGAAGATGGTTCAGAGGGCAAAGGTATTTGCTGACAGTTAACATTTACCATCCACATGCTGCGCATAACACACACACACACACACACACACACACACACACCAAAAGTAGTAAGTAAAATATAATAAAATGTAATGTAAATGTAATAAAAAGAATAAACTGAAACTACCAAGAAGAACTTAAAGAGGTTAAAGACCGAGCAACAACTCTGAGAACTTGAGGTACCCTAGAAAGACAACTGAAGAGATTTCTAAGAATTGTGAGAACACGGTGAGTCCCCTGACTGTGCATGGGAAATGTGAGCGAGAACAGAATCAAAGATGGGGTTATAAAGAAAGAAAGCAAAACTTCAAGAAAAGCCGAGGCTGGGAGTGTAGCTCAGAGGTTTGATAGCCAGCAGCAATAAAAGGAAAAGAGACGTGGACAATTCTCAGCCTATTTATACTGTAGGCAAGAAGACTGCAGTCCAAAACCCACCTGATATGGAGATTGGAATGGGTGTACACCAGGTTAGCCCAGCAGAAAGGCAGTCTGGCAGAACTGAGGGAGGCAGAGACAAAGATCTGAAGGACACTGCAGGACTCAGCTCCCACAGAACCTGACCATAGTGCTAGGCCATTGTTCACCACTCTCCAAGACAAAGGAAAGACCTCAAAGATGGCTACATGGCCATCCCACTCAGCTGGGACTGCACACGTGGCAGAGTGCCATGTGCAGGCTTGTCGCAGCATGCCTGTCAGACATCATTTTCAAGCCTTAAAGCTTATTGGTGGTCCCAACTTGATGGCACACGCCGTCAATCCCAGCATTCGGGAGGCAGATCTCTGTGAGTCTGAGGCCAGCCTGGTCTACGAAGAGAGTTCCAGGCCAGCTAGAGCTACATAGTGAGACCCTGCCTCAAAAACTCAAAAGAAATAAATGTGGGAGCTGAGTGGTGAATGGCTCAGTGG